GCTAACTTTGGATATAATAGCCTAAGCCATTATACAATTAATTGGACAGCCCCAATCATTTATGCAACCATGCCCTAATTAATATTATCTATCTAGTCTTCACCTTTATTAAGTCACTTTCAAGTTTTGACATCAAGTACATTTCATGTTACCTTGATTGAACTAATTAATTCATAAATAAGATATATGGATATAATTTTAATCTCTTTTTTTTTTTTTTTTTTTTGCTTTTAAATTATTACCCATTGTAATTAAAATACATTAATAATCTTTTTTCGTAAATCTTTAATTGTTTTAGGAAAGTAAAGTTTTAATTAATTATTAGTTTGTAAATATTAAAATCAGTTTGGATTTGAGTGTGAACATCAATGTGTTAATTTCCTAGCCGTAATTTTATTGTACGTGCTCAAATATTCAACTTGGATATAAATGATCGAAGTCAAATGTAACAAAAGCAGTTTAAGTATTACCAAGGAAAAATAATAAGAAATTAATTCTATAGATGTCAAATCGTTATATCAGCCATTAATTCCTTCACTCGTTTTACATATATATTTACTAAATGGAAAGAAATTGACCGCTGTGATTTATCTGGAGCATATATTTGATTCAAGTCATATTGGTGGTTGTTGATGAGAGAATTGGAGCCAAAAACTCTTATTTTTTATTATTGTGTAGCGGGATCCAACCTATGCCCTTTCAAACTCACATTTCATTTTTATACCACATGTCGTTTGATTTAGTACTCATTAATTTAAAAGATTTATTCTTATAAAGCGGATTACGTACTTAAATACGATCGTAAATGAGTATGAACACTAATTACAAAGGCATTTAATTCTAAATATCATGAGATTCATTTTCTGCCTTTCTTTATTATGGTAAAATATTAAACTATATATAAGCTTCAACTATCACGAGTAACAGAACTCCATTTTTTATGCATATATAATTAGTTTTCTTCCTCTTGGATAACGTTAAATATTCGTGTGTTACAAAATTATCACTTGTGTTAAATTTTGAATTATTTTCTTTACAACATATAGCATTATCACTTTGAGTTCAGATTTACTTTTTTATTTTCCTGGTTACTAAACTTATTAATTATTTGTCCCTCTATTATTGGCCTAGCAGTACTCGAATACCTCTTCAAAAATATTAATTACCATGAAAGTAAATATATATCCTAACTATAATAGGACTCGCACATCCACTCTTCCAAAATATGGAGAAGGTCCTGATTCCTGAAAGTTATTATAAAGTTAAATGTGTACACAACCTAATAATTATTGGTTATGAAATAAAAAATTTATCTTCAGTAAAAAAAATTATCTTCTCTCTTTCATAAAAATGGGTTGGATGGACAATTTGAATGGTCTACCAAGTACTACTTAAACAATGTTACATAAATCTCTTTTCACTATCATCTTTTATTTTCTGATTGATGTGTTCAAATCCTTGATAATTCATGCAATACTTAAGTACTAAACCTGAAAGACCAAAAAAAAAAAAAAAAAAAAAAAAAAAAAAAAAAAAAAAATAGTAATTCAGTAAAAACTTAAATACTAAACCCGAAAAAACAAAAAAAAAAAAAAAAAAAAAAAAGAAAAAAGAAAGAAACAACTCAACTGTATTACTTCTTCTCACTAGCTACAAAAATAATTAAGCATATCCTAGATAAATCTGAAACAGATTATAATTTGCAGAATATAATCAGCAAATCAAACACGTAAATTATCACTTGTTTAGATGTTTCGAGCAACAAATTGACTACAAAATTCCTTCATGATGATCATAAGTAGTACCGATCGCTATCATGGAATCAACTGTGCATTATAGATGTCAAAGCAGACCGAGGGTCAGAAATGTACTACTTCCGCTCTTAAGTGAGTGTTGATTGTTTTCATTCACGTAATCAAGATCAAAAGGGTCCCCTCTCTAAAGTTTGTGTGTATATATGTAACAACTACTAACTTATACTAGTATGTTATATATATATATATATATTGACATAAAAGTTACTGTGTTAAGTTCGGTACCCAGATTAGTTTAATAGATGTAATTTTATTTTTATTTTCGTGTAACACTCAATTCGTTTAAGTGGAGATATTTAAAAAATATAATTCAACACATATAATATTGAGTGTTACATTTAAGTAAACTGATTATGCGTGCAAACTGATGTGATATGAGAATATGAAAAAAGTTATACTTACTGGAATGATTCGGATACCAAATTGGAAAATTTATCTATACATATATATATATATATATATATATATAAGAATTGTCTTTAGTCCAGTATGAGACTCGAGGGACACTTGTATATATATTTTTTAAAATATGTATATATTTTTTTTAAAACGTATATATTTCCACTTAAAATATATACATTTTCTTTTATGGTAAAATATACAATATATATATATTTTAAAAAAAAATATTCATATTTAAAAAAAAATATACATATTTTAAAGAAAAATATAGAAGTGCGGCTCTAATATAAATGGGAGACTTGGCATATATATATATATATATTCTAATTTGCTATAATATAGTCCATATATACTCGACGGCCTAATAGCGAGCTAGCGCGGGAGGGACGCGTCATCCCCAGCCCTTTTGCATTGCAAAAAGACCAATATTATTACAAATATATATGTCTATATGTATGTCTAACATGTCTCGACCACAACGCCAAAAAGGAAAATCAACAAAAGCCTGAGCTATCATCATATGAGCTGTCTATCACTTTTGTTGATTCGTATTCGCCAAAAACACAATGTTAAAAAAATCACTTAAAAATAAATAAAAGTGATATGCTAATTAACAAAAGCAGAAGACAAGAAAAAAGGGTCTCCAAATCTGGGAGCGGAGAGTATTTGTATTGCTTTTAGCCCTCATTGGTCCATCACTACGCCACTCACATACAACCTCCTCACCTACCTGAACCCCCTGTTGAATTTTTTCCGTTGAACACATAATACTAAATTAATTAGGAGATTTTTTTTTTGGTAGGCACTAAAAATAATGGACTATTACAAATTTTTTGTTTTCAACATCTGTTTATTGTACATATTTTTTTAATTTAATATAATTTTAACTAGATTTAACAAATAAAAACTGATCCTACTAATAAAAAAATATTATCAGAAAAAGACACAATTAATTAATATTATTAGAGAAACAAACCGATCGCCCATCTTTGTTAGTCACTTTTTTAATTTTCACCTAAAAAAAGCAGTTTGTTTGTGACTTCAAGTGAACTCTGTGGTGTTTTTCACCTTATTATATACAATTTACTTCGCTTTAATTCCACATGACTCGATTTGTATTGCACCGATTGACAAAAATCAGGTAGCTAAAAACTAAGGGCGGACGATTGGTTAGTTGTTGTTAAAGCAATTATTGCTGTATTTAATATTTTTCCCTATTCACCAACTTCTTGTTTTTTTTTTTTTTTTTTTTTAACTTTTCAATTTTTATATATTTTTTAGTTTAACCGTTGTAATGTTGGAACAATATTGTTAAAAGACCGTTTAAAAAGATAATTAGGCACGCAACTCCACCGTCCAAGAGTACAGGCACTATCATGAAAATTACTAACTGATAGAATTTTTTCCCATTTGAAACATTGTGGCACCTGGGTTATAGTTTTGGAAAGGCTAGCTAAATTGAGAATACTATAGAGGTAAGATATTTTCTTTTAGCAAAATATATATCTACGTCGTTTATGTGCACCACAAAAAACCCAAGTGGGGGAAGAGGGCGGTCTTACACATAAACTTACATTTCTTTCTTTTTATGTAATGGATTAATCAAATTCCACCGCACCACATAATAAGATCAAAAATATGTTTGATTTGGACCGACCTTGTTATGCCCTTAATAAACCGCCTTAATTTTGGTGAAAATCTTTTGTCACAAGGTGATAACCTTTTGGTCTGGATTCGACTTTTATGTCTGACGCGTTAATTAAAATGTCATGTCAATTAAAATTTCATACCACATCAATTAAAAAAGTAAAACAGTTATCTGATGTGACATGATATTATTATTATTAAGAGACGGGAAATGAGAAAGAAAACATGGGAAATATGAGCCCAATCCCGTTGTTCCAAGCAGATTCTCACAAGGTTGACTTTCAAACCCCCCCTTAAAAGGGTGTTTGCCGAGTAGGGAGATCGTGAACCAATTATAAAAATTAGTGAAGAAACAAGCACTAATGGGAAGGCCTAAAGAGGTGAAGAAAATGGCCGACACAGATTAGATGGGGCTAGTACAAGCAGGGAGCATATGGACCAGGGTGGCACATCTTAGGTCTTAGTTTGCATGGACCATGTAGGTCAGTCTAGCCATTTTCTATGAGATTTGCTGTCGGTAAGGCTTTACTAATAACATCCTTAATCTCCATACTTCTTTTTTATTTTTTGTTGCTTTGTTCTTTTCACTTAGAAAACTCATAATATCACACACAAACACACTTGTAATTAAGCCCACGCGAGACTGTAGGAGGTGAGAACACTTTCCAAATATAGTGCCCTCAGTTTATGGCACTTCTCCTATTGAGTGCAAAGTTGGGACTTACTATTACTATTAGTTTGTACTTTGTTTGCCTTCTACAACGGGGCGGTGGCAAAAGCGCGTAGAATTTAACATTTTGTCCTGTTTTTCCTTTTGTATTAATTAATGTTAAGCAAAAGCTATCTCTGTAGTCAAATGTATACATGATTCTCTCATTTCTGACATGGCATTCCTTTCTGTTTAGTTTATAGAAATTTTTTTAAAATTAAACTTAAAAAAATAAAAAATAAAAAACTCCCATATGGCTATATATATATGGGTCTACGTTTGCAGTAGACATCTCGTTCCACTCCAACAAATTAACCAAAATCCATCAATATCTTTCTCATTCTTCTTCTAAGTATATATTCTCTCTTCTACAATTCCAGCTTGGTATATTTGATCATCATCAGATCATAACAAAATATTGTTCGAAAATGAGGTTGTTGTCTAGAAAAGCATCATGCAATACTCACGGCCAAGATTCTTCGTACTTTTTGGGATGGCAAGAGTATGAGAAGAACCCTTATGATGAGGTTAAAAATCCCAAGGGAATTATTCAGATGGGTCTTGCAGAAAATCAGGTAAGAAATTATTACCATTCCCAATAGTTCTCTCTTTTCTCATGTGTTAAGTATATATTATTCATCAATGTAGTCAATTCTCTAATGTATTTTTCTTTTTTGTTAATTCACAGCTCTCCTTTCACCTTCTAGAATCATGGCTTGCTAAGAACCCGGACGCAGCTGGGTTCAAGAGAGATGGAAAATCCATCTTCAGAGAGCTCGCTCTGTTCCAAGATTATCATGGTCTTCCAGCATTCAAGCAGGTATATACATAATACTATATATACATATATATATATGTATATCACAAAAATATTTCAATATATAAAATTTTCAAGCTTTCATATCTAACAGTAAATTTTTGAACATTTGTTTTTGCAGGCATTGGTAGATTTCATGTCCGAAATCAGAGGAAACAAAGTAACATTTGACCCGAACCACATCGTTCTCACCGCCGGTGCAACGTCGGCAAACGAGACGCTCATGTTCTGCCTCGCCGAACCCGGCGAGGCCTTTCTTCTTCCCACTCCATACTACCCTGGGTAAGCCTTTATTTCCTTTTTACTATATTGTGAAATATTTTACAATATTACAGCATTAACAACATCATTTACACGTTAAGTCACGTGAAATATTAAAAGGATAATCTTCCCTGATGTTGCTTGTAATTCTTGCAGATTTGATAGGGACCTTAAGTGGCGAACCGGCGTCGAAATAGTACCGATTCACTGCACAAGCTCGAATGGCTTCCAAATCACTGAAGCCGCTCTGAACCAAGCGTTTGAAGAAGCCGAAAACCGTAATCTGAGGGTCAAAGGCGTCTTGGTCACGAACCCTTCCAATCCTTTGGGAACAACTATGACATCAAACGAACACAACCTCCTCGTCAGCTTCATCGAAGCCAAGAAAATCCATCTCATCAGCGACGAAATCTACTCTGGGACTGTTTTTACCTCCCCGGGCTTCGTGAGCGTCATGGAGATTCTGAAGAACAGAAACTATGACAAGTTCTCCGAAGTCTGGAAGAGAGTTCACGTCGTGTACAGTCTGTCGAAAGATCTCGGTCTCCCCGGGTTTCGAGTTGGAGCGATTTACTCGAACGATGAGATGGTCGTGGCGGCGGCGACGAAGATGTCGAGTTTCGGTTTGGTATCCTCGCAGACGCAGTACCTCCTCTCGGCCATGCTCTCGGACAGAAATTTCACGAAGAAGTACATTTCCGAGAACCAGAAGAGGCTTAAGAAGCGCCACGGAATGCTGGTTTCGGGGCTTCAGAAGGCCGGCGTGAGCTGCCTCAAGAGCAATGCCGGGCTTTTCTGCTGGGTCGACATGAGACACCTCTTGAGATCCAACACATTCGAAGCCGAAATGGAGCTGTGGAAGAAGATAGTTTACGATGTCAAGCTGAACATCTCTCCCGGATCGTCCTGCCATTGTACGGAGCCCGGGTGGTTCAGAGTTTGCTTCGCCAACATGTCGGAGGAAACCTTGGAACTCGCAATGCAACGGTTGAAATCCTTCGTAACGGAGTACAATCGGATCAATAACAGTAACAAAGAATCATCGGCAAAGAACTCGAGAAGAAGATCGCTCACCAAGTGGGTTTTCCGGCTATCGTTCGACGGCGCCGACCGACAGCCCGAAGAGCGATAGTCTGGTGGTGAGCAGTACGGCATACACTTCATCATCAACATGATCGGAATTATCCACTTTGAACATTATTATTATTATTATTATTATTATTATTATTATTATTATTATTATTGTTACTATTTTTTTTTTTGCCAAAATTTCATTGGTTGATGAGTTCGTTTACTATTTTAATAATTATATATTTAGGTCAAGAGTAGATACATGTTGTAATGCACTCTGTCCTTTGTGGATTAGAAGTGGAATATTTAGCACCATTGTTAAAAAGTTTGAGTCGTTTCAATTATTCCCCTCGCACAAAGAAAATAAAAACTATGATGTAATTATCGTTTACTTATCACAAGGAAATGTGATTAATTATATTATAGTTCAATTGATCATGATATTAACTTTTTTCCCTTTTTTTTTTTAAAAAAACTTCGTTTCATGAGTACATTCTACGTTTGTAATATGACATGTGTACGTGTGAACAAGCATATATATATGTGTGTGTCTATATATATGTGTGTGTATATATATATACACGTGCATACGTAATAGTGCCGGCGAGATTAGCGGCTCGTGCTGCCGACGTCGGCCGGTGGTTCCATTATCCAATAATTTTCAACCGACCTTTTTATTATTGGCTGTGTGGTTATTGGTGAGTCGCTCATTTTATTTTTCATTTGTAACATTTTTTTAAGCCGCATAAGTAGGAGAATGATATATTAAAGGAGATTTTGTAATAATGGGTGGGTAGATATATTAGTACTTTTTTGCTGCGTTATAGCTGGTCAGAGGCAAAGAGTCAAAAAGCTTATTATTTTCATTAGGATTTTATTAAGGGTTCCAAAAAAAAATATATCAAATCAACCATATATATTTCCTTTCTGGGCTGAGACATATCTAACCAAGGAGACTGATCTACATGAATTCTCTAACCTTCTCTTCAACTAAAATGAAAAGAAATAAAAAATAAAAAATAAAAAATAAAACTAAACGACATGTAAAGAAAAGTTGAAAGTTGAAACTCATGTCTTTCAAGGATGTTCAACGTCACTAACTACGCAACATTATGAGGAAGAGTTTCTTGCAAGAAATCCAGAAAGTCTAAAAGGTAAAAATTATATTTTGTCCTATTGAGGGTCACGCGGTTTATGCCAAATAACCCGATTAAACTTCTCCTCAAATGTAACTTATTCTAAAATGTAACTTACTTTTGAGGAAACAAAAGCATGTTTGCCAATAGCATAGCACTTGGTCCTTTTGTAGATATGACTGTAGAAAGCTACTTATCTTAAAGTATCTTTTCTATAATTGAATATGATTCTTATATATATATATATATATATATATATGCATGGCACAAGATTTGACGTTCTTAACCGCATGACTATTGACCACATCTTATCTCTTAGTATTTGAGTAAGTTAGCCATGGATAGGGATAACAAAATACATGCATTATACATGCATATGGAAATATATATATATATATATATATATATAGAAGAGAGAAGAAAGAGAGAGAGAGAGAGAGAGAGAGAGAGAGAGAGAGCAATAAGGACGAGATTTGATGATGATGCATGCATTTTTTTTCTTGACGAAGTCATGCACGATCATTATTCATTATATAAATGAAAGGATTTATAAAAAAATGATATACAAAAAATATAAAAAGAAAAAATAATTCTGATTATATCAAAGACTAGTCATAATTCTTATACTCTCTTTTAAGTTGTCATTCTTTTATATACTGGTAAAAGTATTTTTTTATTATTAATTTGTATTACCAATAAAAGAATTACAACTCATAAACATGATACAAGAGATGGTGTCTCTAACATTATTTAAAAAGAAAAATATCGCGAGAGGGAAATAATTTTTCAAATTTAGGCCATCGCAGTTGGATCGAAGAAAAATTCACTACTAGCTTGAAGATAGTAAACATGCATGTCTTGTTATTGTTAGTCCAACGCTTAATTAAGTTCACGCGTTCATACTAATAAATAGACCTACCGACCTAGCTAGAATCTCATTACTCTAATTAAAACTATTGCTCAAATTAGGAAGCTCTCAAATGGATAAAAAGTAATTGTCCTTTGTATTCAATATATATCTAGCTACTGTCACTGTTACCTTCCTTGATCACAAGCTTCCTTCAAAGGCAAGGGTGAACTGTGAATCTAATGACTAAAAGAACAAAGTCCATAAATTACAATTTCACATCAATATTTATAGGATCAAAAAAGCAATTCGCTAACAACCTTTGTTAATTAATGGGAAGATTAATTATTTGAAACTACAATCTAATTATGTATATACTATGTGCCAAGAGATCTTGCATGAAGCGTGGGCTTTGCAATATACTATATGCTAAAAATAATAATGAAGTTTCTTAGATGAATATTTACCAACAATGAACGAATCTATAATCTTCGTTTAGTACCAAATTTCACTCTACCAACTAGTGATTGCAAAGCAATGTTTTTTCCAACAAATTGTTACTGCAAAATAGAAATTATATATCTTGTATTCACTCACTATCAAAATAGCAATTATCTTGTGTTCAGTAAAGTTCTAAATCGTGACACATAATTGTTTTATATTTGGAAGAAACCATTGTTTTCCTACAAAGTTTTATTATCTAGGTGCGGTGCGAATTATATCAAATCTAATTTCCTGATTTCATTTCTTCTTGATCCGTCAACTTATTCTTTTTCTGTCAAAGAATAAAGTAGTTTTTTCTGCAAGTAATTTACAGAAGGTTGCGTGTAGAAATTTCTCGCTGAACTTGTGACTTTTAAGTAGTTTACATGTGGCAAATGCATAAATTTTTTGTCAGATATAGTCGAAAAGTACAAGTATATTTTCTTCAAAACTCTGCGCTATGCACGACTTATATATAAATATATACATATATATTTTTTTGATTTTCCCTTTTTTAGCTCTCAAAAAACCATCGTTCACGACTTATGTTCACGTCATTTTTCAAAACTAAAAAGTCTCATATACCATTATTATTGAAAAAATAAATTATACTCCCTCAGTCAAAGCGGCAATTCCCAGAGTTTTAGCAAAAAAGTATGACATCAAGAATATTTACTTGAGATAAGTTTCTCTCGTGGAAAAAAAATACTAATCATACCAGAACTATTTGCATGAGTCATGTGGGAGGAAATAAAATATTATTGCCACCCTTTTTGTACATCTATTATATTAAAACTGAAAATGAAATATCTCGGTTAGAGAAAAGATTTGTTGAATTAATTATAATCTTTATTCATAATACACCACATTAAAAATTATGAAACTATTTATAATAATTCTTTCTAGTTCTCAATCTATGTGGTTTATTGCTTCCAAAGTTAAACGACCCATGATCCTTGCATGTGAGAGGTTTGGTAGTCTCATTAATTAGTATCAGAGAAGAATATAATTAATAAATTAGAGTTATAATTAATTAAATAAAGAAGTGGGAATTTTGGTCGATTCCCATGTTATTGTTGACTAATATGAATGTGTTCAAGAGCCTGATTTTAAATATGGGCTGCAAATATAATACACATAAAAAATATACATACACACACATATATCTAAGTGATATTGGACGCAACCATCATCGAGATCTGGTTAGGTTTGTTTCATATTTGTATTAATATGATTTCTTTTAATATTATCTTCATATAATTGCTTTTGTTTTAATCAACTTTCAAGTGTCATACACGGTTTGTGTTAATTAAATTAACGTCTTCAACGATAGTTAGATCCCAGAGGGCATATGGAAGCATAACCACTATAAATTTTGGAAAATCCAAAATCTAATTGTTTATTCAAAACACTTAGATTATTTAATAAATGCTTACTACTTAGTGCTCACCTCTTATACACACACACACACACACACACACACACACACATATATATATATGGTTGTTTAAGTTTGATTTCTAATTATTTAGTACAAACTAACACCCTTTTTAATTTCTTTCCCCAAGTGGTCCTTTCCAACTTGAGGATTAAAATATTTTGATCTACAGGAAATACATTGACTAAATAACTAATTTCCTTATGATAGACTTTTCAAGGAACAACTTATTCTGATTAGTACATTTAAACTACAAAGATAAAAGTTTGACAATTCACTAAAACAGTGTTTAGGTCAGTAATCTGCTTATTGTTTGGCTTTTTATGCAGACATTGGAAAATTTTCAGACATGAAAACCTTTGATTAATAAAGATGTTTCTCGACAAACACTCGGACACCAGCATCATAATTAGACGGTAATCACCCTTACCATTATATCTAGGAACATCGACAAGAAAGGTTAGAAAAAATGTCTCATAATGCTAATAAGTAGAAATTATATTATAATAAAATTAATTAACGAAACTCCAATAAGTACTTTTTTCTTAACGTAAATCTTCTTATATGGATAGTATAATACGATACAATATATATCCTTCTCTCTCTTAGTTATATAATTAAGAAATTCCAATCTCAACCATGATAAAGAAAAAAAGACCCCAGTACGACACTTTAATTAGCTGAATACCAACCGATTCGAAATATAGTATTGTATCTTAAAAATTAATTAGGCACAAAACGAAAAAAAAAAAAAAAAAATTTGAAGTCCCAATTATATGAGAGTTTGGTTAGTTTTTTTCGGGTTTGAAAGGCAAGACATGACAATTTTGATTACGTGGGTATGGGTGACATGTGGGTTTCACATGAGCAAGACCAAGCTTAGCACATGTTAAGGGAACATATTACACCTGCTTCTCTTCACATATTATATCATTTTCTTCAATCCGTGTGAAAGGAATAGAGGCTATATACATATCCATTTATATATATATATACACATATATATTATGCCCGTTTAAATATATATGGATGAGTTTTTAATAGTTACGTTTCTATCGATAATTAATACTAAATATAAAAATTTAATGACGTGAATTCAACGGTCCATGGAGCCTTATATACTCCAAGCCTCAATCTGTATTGCCCTTGAACTTAGACCATGGAAATAAGGTT